AACCAAGGACCCATCAAGGAAAGTGGGGAAATTTTGAATGGCTACTACTGTACAGAGATCATCTCCATAGGAAGGTACCTTGAGGCTCATTTATCTACTCTTGAAACTACCTTAGCGTACTTGTTGGTTGTCCATATGAAGGGGCAGACAATCATTCACACACTCACACTTAAAGCTTTGATGATGCTGAAGTGACTCTAAAAAGAACCCAGTGAGCCTGTAATTGGAACGGCCTGCAGAACCAAACACAGTGATGACAAGAAGAAAAAAAAAAAAACTCACTGTTTTGCATCATGGAGGCGACACCAGTCTCCCAGCTGGGTTGACTTCTGTAATCTGCACAAACAAATAAACCTCATTTTACTGAGTTTTATGCATCCATGTATAATCAAAGCATCTTAAATAGACAAAAAGGAAAAGAAATGTTAGAGGAAAAACTTTTAGTCAATTTGAGTATCGATAAAACACACATTACTCTATTGTTAAAAAACTGAAATCATTTTAATATGTTTGTTTTTCTTGGGGGGAGGGAGATAACCTTTAAAGTGATTTAGTGGAAAATAAATAAACTGAATTTAATAAATAATTTCCAGACCACATAGTAATCTTTCTTTGACCATCTCCTACCAAACTAATAACATGTTTAAGTACTTTAAACCCAGGAAGTCACACTTTGTCTCCCTGTGCAGCTAAAACACACCAGACATGTTTGGATGATCAGATCTTCCTATTAAATAAATATGTAGTAATAAAGTATGTTTAGACACAAATGAATTAAACTCATTAAAGGGACACCATACATGTCAAAGAACATCAACTAGTCCTGAATTGGGGCACAGATTTCAGATCCAAATGCACCAATAAATACTTCAATGCACCATAATGAAAAAAAATTGACTATTTTTTAACACAGAACAGGAAATAATATGAAAGGAGTAAATCATTATTATATGAGGCAAAAGTAAATAAATCTGTCCAAAGTATTTATTGAACCACTTTCTCTAAAGTGACGAGTATGTGGCTCCAAATCTTTCGGGCATAATAACGAAAATCTCTCTGCAGCTTATTTTGAGGAACAAATTTTATTACTACAAATGTTGTCCCAAACAATTCCATGACTATAAAATGTTTACAGTAGCAGCCATTCAAAATGGCCCTTCCCAGTCAAACATCAGCCAAATGGCAGCCCACTTCCCTGCAACTCCCAGTAAAAACCCCTCCAACTTCCAGCCACTGCAGTGACCCCTGGTAATGTAGGGGGACCAGCCAAGGGCCCATTAAGGAAAGTGGGGAAATTTTGAATGGCTACCAGGGGTTGACGTTAAGAACTTTTACCGCTTGCTCTTTGGGCAAGTGACTTTCACATTTCATTTGCCCAGAAACAATTTTTACTTGCCCAGTAAAATGTTTGATTAATATAGTTCCTAATATTCATTTTTGTATATATATCAATGAAACATGTTTGTTTTTTAAATGTTTTTTGTAATTCAGTATGTTTTAAGTTTGCCGGTTTCTGGTGTGTATATGCATGCGTCAGATAAGGAACTCAAGCCTACATTACCGTGTTAACATGCTTTCAATCCTTCCTGCACATTGTTTTCAAACTAAACTTTGCTTTAAACTGTTGTGTGCTTGGAAAAATATAAATTGTAATGTTAAAAATCTAAAAAAAACTTGACAGGTTAAAAACTTAAGAAAAATCACAAGACAGAAGTCAATGTCACAAATGAATAACTTTTATTTTAGAGTCACGGTATGTTTATACAAGATAATACTATTAATATAATGTGACTTTTCTAGAGAATCATTATACATATTTATTTTAAACAGGGTTTCCACAGTCTGACATAATCTCAGAATTCCCTGACTTTTAACTGACTCAGGATAAGTTTTACCTGACTAAATAAATGCAGCCGTTTGTCGTTTTGGTAACTACATCAAAATTACCGCTTGGTGGACAAAAATTACGCCATCTGCCGGAAAATCACCCGGCTTTTTCTAATCATGCGAGAATGTGTACGAAACAACAAAAATGGTGCCGGCAATGCTTCTGGGTCGTTTTCATCGAATGTCGGTGATTTTAAAGTAATTTTGAGTCATAAATAATTGCCCGGCAGGCAAATGCAATGAAATTTGTACTCTCCCAACAATAAAAACTACTTGCCCCGGGAGATTGGGCGATGGTTAACATAGAGCCATGGCTACTACTGTAAGTATATAAAATCCAGGACTTCCAGACTGAGACTGAGTTTCATGCCTGATCAGAGTGTAATACTTTGCCACAGGATGCTACGTGTGCAGCTGCATATCAGAATCATGCAGTGCTAGATGCAGAGGAGTAAAGCAGGCTGGACTCTGGAGTGACGGATACGCCTCTCTATTTGAAAACCGAGGGATGAGATGGCGTTTAGCGCTTACCAGGGGAATGATATTTCCCTGAATGCATTTTGCCAAGTCAAAGGTGGTGGGGGAGCATTATGGTGTGGGACTGTTGGAGTTGGGTCCAACACCTTGGTTCCACTCAAAGGATCCCTTCATGCTTCAGCAACCATAATATTTAATTAATATTCAACATCCCAACTGGGAGGAACTGCTTACTGTTCCTACACCAATGAACAAAGGAAAGTCCTTAAAGACGCGGATAAGCAGGTTTGAAGTAGAAAGACTCGTCTCGGCTCCTGGTCAACCCAACAGAACACCTGAGGGGGCTCGGACTATCAGGACCTAACCCCGGGATTTTAAGGAGACCAGTGGATTTCACTCTGTCTGGGCTCCGGTCCGATGTCTGAAGTCGGGATGGATAACGATCCCTGGGATTGCTGAAGGATCGACAAGATATTAGTAGCAGTGACTACTAATAAAATAAGTGTATAAATAATGTTTTATACTTTGAATTCATCACAAGAAGAAGGATTTTAGGATTTTTATAACTGAAAAAAATTTGACCAATAAATCTTTCACTGTTTTGTCGGGTTTTCAAGAATCAGATCGCTATAGCCTGGTCAGTAATACTGACATAATCTGCCCGTCTGGTAAGGCTCAGACTCTCTGCTCCACAACAGACATCTTTTAGCCTGTAGCCTATTTTCCTGACTCTACTTCAGGTCAGAAATTCCCACACTTTTCTGCAGATGGGAATTTAAGCACGTCTGTGTTAAATGGGCCCAACCTAGCAAACAATCAAAGTGTTAGTCAAGATGGATTTTGTGGAAACTCAGAAGCAACTAGCATCCAACTATACTCAGACACCAATGGCATCTCATGTAAGGTGAAAAATGTAAAGAAAAACCTTCTTCAGTACGAACGTGAGCTACAAAAACGAGCAGAGGAGAGCTGCAGTTCTGTGTTTTGGCCAAAGGTGGCAGTATCAGTAGAAAACCATGCCTCTTTAATGTTCTCTTGCATCTGGATCCATTCCCACCGCACTGGGAGTAAAGAGAAAAATCAGTTGTGTTTTCTTAATACCGCCATCTGATGGACTGAAGGCGTACTGCAAATTTTCTTGTCCCTTTGAAAGAGAAGTCTGGTCATATTCAGAAATCAGACCTCTAAGAGTACTTTAAATATGAAATTATTACATAATATTCAATAAATGATAAGTGATTTTAATTGAGAGTGTTTTTAATTTGAATGTGCTTTACTGGAGGCCTCCATGTTTGTCAAAGAACACTACTGCCACCTACTGGTTTGTGACGTCACGGTGCGGTATCGGCTGTTGATCAAGTCCCAGTGCTGTATGTGGTGTTTGTCACAACGCGCTATTATCCAAGTCATCTTGAAAACATTCTTCTTCCAAATGTTGGCTACATATTACGTGTTTTTTCTCTGGCCAGAAGGATCAGGAATCGGAAAGGTTAAATAACTCTTTTTTTTCTCTTTTACCTGATGTATTCCAACATCCAGCTGCCATGCACGTGGGCATTGTCAGTTTCACTATAGCTCTGGTGAATTTCAATGGTGAAGTCCTCTGGAAATCTTCAATAATTGTTGTTGATTGCAGATGTGTCTAGTAGTTCCCATTGATTTTACTTGTAAAGCGGGGAAATGGCGCTAGGCTTACCGCACTGTGACGTCACTGCCGGAAGATGGCAGGAGGGAGGGGTTCCCAGACTTAGTGATCACAACGAAAATTTATATTTTTTTACTGATTAATGCTAAGTTAAATTAAATCACAGCAAACATCTTAGTTTTAGGTAAAAATAACGATCCATTGATTATTCCTTGCTAAGAGTAATGAGAACAGCAGGCTAGTGATTTCCAAGAGATTCCTTTTACCGGCATGGAAATCCTTGAGTGGAAAGTTCTTGGCAGACCTTCTCATGCCTTCTGCAAATGAACTTAAATCTCAAGGAGAGTCTCCTCAAAAAACAGTTGAAGCTGGAAATAGCTGAAGAATAGATGCTTGTGTGACAGCAGATGAGAGAACACCTTTAGCAATGTGATGCAATATGGTGTACTACTGCACATTTTAAGTGTGGTATTTTGTCCGCTTCCTTTCACTGTTGCATTAGGGAAATTAATTAAAATCAAAAAATTTCATAGAGAAGAAGAAATCTGAGAAATAATGAAAATGGCTAGCTTTCTAGGCATGATCAGGTTTAAAGAGTTACACTTTATAATATGCTGAAGTTTTTGTCATCACAAATATTCCAACAATTTAAGATAATTTTACTTAGGTCCCAAAAACTGTGCATGGAGTAACTAAGGACTGCCGGTCAGAAAGATAAAAGCGTCTGAATAAACGGCCCTTGTTAGGACTGTGCTGCAGTTTGCAGCTGCCTGCAGGCTCATGACCTCAGCAGACTGCCTGGCTGAAGAACCACCAGCCGCTCAGACTGGCAGAGCTCTGTGCGGCTCAGGGAGAGAACAAGCTATAGGACTCTTTACACTTCCAAAATGTAGATCAATGCTCTCATTTATAAACTAAAATCCATCTAATATTTAGGAAATATTTCAGATCCTCAACACTTCAATCGATAAAGTCATTGGGTGGATATAATCCACCTCCCTGTAAAAAACAGCTGATGTCAAATCAGGATATGATCTCTGGACGGCTGTCATCCATAAACATGATGTACGGATTCATTTGAAAGGATTTAAAATCATATTTATTTACCGATTATTTAAGTTTCACAGGTTTTAGACCAAAACAAATGAATTAAATTCCAACCTTGTTAAATTTTAGTTCCTCTGTGAAAGAATCAGGACTAAATAAAGAGGTTAGCCTCTAAATGCGACACCAACTAAACTTCTTTGCTGATTGTTACAAACACTTTTCCAAGAGCACCAAATTCACACGCTGATAAACTGATCATTGTTAATCTAAGGGTTGAATGCTTTGCTCAGTGGCACATTGGCATGTGGTAGAATCAGAGCTGGAATCAAACCCACAACCTTCTGCAAGAAGAGGCTTCTATCAGGCAAATTACGGCAACTGAAAAAAAATACCAATGACAAAACTGATTTGGCTTTATATCCATATATTTATAAAGGATCCCCCCCCCCCCACACACACACACACTGATAAAACAGATAAACTCAACGTAAACAGAATAAAAATATTCTACTTCATTCTATTAGATTTTTACAATTTTTGAAAACGCCACTAAGATCTTCATATCCAATTAGCACTATATTTGTACTTTTTATACCGTTTAAATTTTATATTTCTAATTGATCATTTTAAAGGTCTATTTTATGTTAATATCTGGTTTGAACTACAGATGAAAATGTGTGTGAATCTGGAAGATGTTGGACTCTAACAGGGACTAAAGTTGATTCATTCATTAATCATCTTTGGAATAAAGATAAAAAAAGAAACATATTTTAAATTAATAAAACAATTTGTCGAAATAATGTAAAACAGTATAACCTAATTTTCTCATAATAACTTCATATTATTTAACTTTATCGCCTGCCTTTAATCGGGCTATTCTATATTATTCTTTTTATTTTCTGCTAAATGTTTTATTCCTCCGGAGGAAACAGGTTGATGTTTGGGAGGTTTTTCTGCATGGCTCTATTTCTTTAAACCTGGAGCCTTTTTCTGTTTTAGGGAGAAAAAGTTCCCGAAGAAAAGACTCTTTTTTTTTTTTTTTTTTTCATTAACAACATAAAGAAGGAGCCGGAGCTCCACAGAGCAGCAGGCCGGCTGCGGGGACCTTGTTCCCGCTGGAACCCGGAGCTTTTCTCCCTGTGAATGGGGGACAAAGAGGCCGCGGCTCCGCGCAGCGCGGCTCTGCGCGGCGCGGCGCGGCAAACAGCCGCCGGCCCGCAGGCCTTTGTGCCTCGTTAGGAGCTGCGGCTCGTTTAAAGAGAGAAAGTGAGAGAAAAGCGCAGCGGGGAGCCTCATTTCTCCAGTTCAGCGGCCATAGAGGAGCTGATGGAGCCAGAAAACAGCGCTGCTGATCAATGCGCACAAAAACAATCAGAACCTCAATTCAAACGATCTCCAACTTTTATGCCCATTGATGCTGATTTATTTATCCAATTATTTTAAATTATGGGAACTTTTTTATCATCATCATTATTTTATTTTATTTGTCTTTCTAATTGGAAAATAAAGATTTTTGGCTAATATAAATTCTGCCTTTAAAAGGAAAAAGTTGTAAAGTCCAAGAATGTGAATTTTAAGGCCACATTAGAGTAAACAGGCCTGGTCCAGTTTAACCCCAGTTTTCCTTTGCCAAATTAACTTACCTTAAACTGTCTCAAATAAATATTAATAGAACTTTTATTAAGTAAACAAAACAGGCAATCAGGTCATAGTTCAAAGACACAACTATGGAAACTAAACATTTTTAAGTGATCATTTAAAAAAATTTACACCCAATTTTAATTTGTTGCAATGATTCATTTGCAGAGCAGAATCTTTTTTAGAATCTTTTAAAAAGTCAGCTTTTTCTTTTATGACCGCTTTGTTGGGATCCGACTGACTGAGAGAGTCGGGATATCAGATCATTGATGGTTTTAGTCCACAAAAATAAATAAATAACTAAATAAATAAAACTTGTCTTTAAATCCAGCAGCAATAGAAGCACTGAAGTGATGGAATAATATAGTTTATTTCTGGGCCTCCTGACCAACAGTTGACATTATAAAGATATTTTCTATCTTTTATGTGAATAAAAGAGAAATGGAGAGAAAATGACTTTCTGTGCTTCCAGTTCAGTGAACAGGTTGATGCTTTCAGTGGATCTCCACGGTGAGTTGCTCTGATCTGCAGTCCCCCCCCACCCCCCCGACCATCAAAGGTTTAATGAAAAATACTTTATAAAGTTAAACCATATATTGCAACATGATCATGAACTAGTGATTAAAGTATCTAATGGAGGCCCTGCGCATCTTCAGCACCATGGATGAAAGAAAAGAAGCTTCTTTAAAATCTTCCAGTGGATTTTATCCTAATCTCTCTGCTGAGAATTTCAGCAATAAATGCAAAAGTAAAACTAACAAATAATATAAATAATTGTGTATTAAGCCGAAATTAAAATACGTTTTCTTATTAGTTTCAAAACGAATTATTTGCGTATATTATATAATAAAAAGCGCGAAAACATTTAATATTTCATGAAAATAATGAATTTTGACAGTGAAGGTTTTTTTTGAAAATCATTATTAGAGCAGGAATAAAAGATTGCTGATTTAGTTTGTGAGCTTTTTATTTGATTTTTGTCCTGTTTCCTTTGGACTCGTCCTGATCCACCATCAGCTGAGCGGCTCGCAGCGCAGCGATGGATCCGTTTCCATTTGGTCCCACATGAAGCGCAGAGCTTAGTTTTCCATTTTCCACCTCATTCTCACTGCATGTCCCACTGATTCTGGACCAGATGCAGAATCTGGACAAGCAGGAATACTAGGGACACATTCAATCAAATCACCTGCTGTCTTTAGAGCATATTCTAGTTTTCTATTTAACAAAATACGTCTATTATTCCTCTATTTCATTTCGAGTTCATTAACTTTATCAATTAATGCTAATTTCTTATTTTCTGCAAGTTAACTAAACTTTCATGCATCTTAGAGCAGAAACCCTGCTGGGATTCTGCAGGGCAGACATGAAGCTTACCTTTCTGAGGCATGCTGCAGAGAAGTAAACTTTAGCTGCGCTCAATGTATCCAAAGTTCCTCCTGTGTATTCTTTCCTCCAATTAGTTTCTCCTTGACTGGAAAGACAAGTGCAGAAAGAGACAGAGTCGCTCCTCTGAGGAGGAGGGACAAGAAAGGAGAACAAGTGGGCGGGCTGAGAGGGCTGCATGGAGAATGGGGGAGGAATGGGGGAGGAGGGGGCAGAGAGCCCAGTGTGAGGGAGAGAGGTGTTTCTGTGTTTGGGAGAGGCCTAGGATCACTTCTGCACACTTTATTCCCTGTTTTCCCTTTGAGATCCTCAATCCAACCAACTGTGGTTTAGAAAAAGGAATGAAAGGGACCCGAGATACACACTGATAACTGGGCCTCTTAAACTCCTAGGGAAATCCTATTAATGTTAAATTATTCTGGCTTAAACATGCATATAAATGTACTCTTTATCAGACCAGATTGTCCCAAAAGTTAGAAGATTTCTATTTAAAGAATATCTTGTCTTAAAATCTGTGTATTTTTTTTTTCGTTATCTTCTGCAGGCCACTTAGTCATACATCAGCCTGAACACCTACTGTAAATTCAGCCAATCATATATCAACGGTCAGCTGTCAATCAAATGTTTTCGGTCATAGCATCTTGATTCATATGTCGCAGCTAATATACGCAACAGTTGAAATCAGAAATCAGAATTATTTCCTTTCCTATTGAGTTCCGTCCCAGTGTTCACGGGGATGGACGTCTGTGTCTTCAGCAGGCGTAGAGCTAACAGAACTGGCAGCATTGCGAGGCAAGGGCTCAAACATGTACGGCTGGAAGCCTTCTACACCAAACCAAGCTTCTGCC